TCTAAGACAAAATCAATAGGGAAATTAGTTAGACTTTTTGTGGATTTGTTTATGTAATAGTTGGGAGGAGGCTGCAAGCAAATTAGTATATCCGTAGCCCTTAAAAGAACAAACTAGTCACAAACCTGCCAAAGTGCCAGTTTTCCCTTCATTGGAAAGTTTTTCAAATTCTTGAATCCTTGATTCCTCAGCCTTGTCATCATCATTTTCATCTTCAGAGTCATCAACTTGTGTACCTCTAGATTCCATTGAATCATCCCCTTCAGGTTCAACAATTAACTCATATTCAGGTAACAAGCAAGATGACTTACCAAGTAAATCAATACTCTCACCTAAAATAGATAAGGATTGAGAAGGTGTCAGATTTGAAAGTATGTATGCTAAGCAAGAAATTTCAGGGAACAACACCCACCAGAGTTACAAGTTTGTTTATGATAATCCTTCCAGTGGCAAACTTGATGACTTTGGCTACAGTATTTCAACAATTTACACCTTCCACAATGACTTGTTCCTGAATTACCACATGCAGCGCACAGGTCTGTCCATTTATCCACTTTGCATTCAGGGTGCCAGTTATCAGTTTCTTCGGGAGGGTCGAATGGATAAAAGTCATTTTCCCTCTTGAGTTGTGAACGGTAGACAATGAAAGGTGCATTGTCGTTAATTAGATGGCAGCTTGGATTACGACACATAAAAACAAAGACTGTACGATGGAAGCAGTCAGTCCTGGTTTCTATTGGAGCGTAAACTTGACACAAAAAAATGCATGCCTCATGGCACTTATCACATTCCATATCTTTAGGTGAAGGTAAGTCAGTAAATTGAAGCCATGAGGGTCGTCCTCCCACTTTGCTCGGAAAAAATTTACTGTCAAGCTTCCATGGGTACTCAGCCTCATCAACATATCCAACATCAACAGTACTAGAATACTCCATTTCATGCGCTGATCACTACCTAAATATTATATAGGTAGTATATATTTTATGTAGGTCTGAAAAAGTCATACATCTGCCATAAAGCACCGGAACGTTGACTGCAAGTCACAAACTAAATCATAGCAATGAACTTCATGAACACATGATTACGAGGGTTATGTTCTCCGCACCGCACAATCTTCGCTTCAGTATGAGAAATTTGTTCAAAGTAGAGTACAAGAAATTGCTAGAGCGGACGAAAACATTTCCCCTGGATTCCTTTGTTGTTTATCATCACTTCACAGATGACGGACTGACGACGGACCCGACAGACCCCTTTCTTCTTTCTTCAAGCATCCGGGGCCGAACGCTTAGGCTTCCGTCTTTTGCACGATAGCTCCATGTCTACTTTCTTTTGTGTCGTCTGTCTTTATTAAATGTTAAGTTTCATGGTAGGATAACTTGAAAGTGCTAGTCGTCTTTTGCGGCTCCGCCGTTTTTATTCAGGTAGTACTAGAGTGGAGGTGCAGTTTTGCACTTGTCTCCTAATGTTCGTTGCTGTCGGATAACCTTATAAATACGTATTTGGGGGGGGATAGGAGGAAAACATGAGGTCCTCCCACAAAGTACTTGTTGTCGTGAGCCTCCTCGCTGCAGCTTTCGTTAGCAGCAGCTCCGCTGAATTCGCAGATGTAACCGATTGGTTGCAAATCGGAGGCGAGGTGTTGGCGAAGATATTCCATACCTGGGAGGTAGTGAGTCCGGAGGGGGAGCATGATGGACCAGGGGAATACCGGGGACCCGAAGTAAGTCTACCTACTAATGGTCTGAACTCCTGTTCTGAATCTAGGAGTTCTTATACAGCTAACTGTTAAATTCTGCTATTTTCAGTTACCAGGAGTTAGACGCAGGGAGAGGAAATTACTGTCTCACATTGCTGAAGTTAGTAGACTTGTTGGTCAAGTTCAACGTTCAGTTCAGGCAAGCTCGGAAGCAACTGTCCGAGCACTAATGACTGACCTACCAGATATTGTGCGCCTAGAGCTCCGCCTTGATCGATTGACAGAAATCATGGATGGAGGTTTGTATCAAGCATGTATTCAGTAATTGTTCACAAGACCTTCATTATTTTTACTGTTTATGGCTTTGTCTTTTGTAGTGGCAGTCCGTGATGCTGAGCTCTCTGACTATATTAAAAATGGATATGATAATTCCACTGAGCTCTTAGGCACAACTCCAGGCAGATCTGCTTTTCGAGTGGAAGCACACACACTTCTCGATTTTGCTAATCATGCTGTTGCACATGAGGAATCCTCCGTTAGAGGACTAATGAGCAGAATTAATTCTCTTGTGGCCCCAACCAGTGGTCCTTTTCATTCAAGAAGTATTTTTGTGCTGCTAAAAGATGCACTGAAAGATCAGGGTGCTGGTGTCTTATGTGGTACTCAGCAATCTCCTCAGCAACTTTTACTGAATCTCTTCAATTCAATTCAGCTTGTTCAGCTTCAAGGTTTTGCTGTAATGCAATTTTCGTGGATGATTTTGCGATTATATGATAAAGGTATTGCCTATGCATGATTTATACTGTCTCTGTATCAAACTTTCCAGCTGATGTTCTTTTTTATCTAAGATCCAACTGTTTTATCTAAACCTGTCTCACTATATTTTGTTGTTGTTGTGTAATTTAGGTAATTTTAGTGTAGAAGCAAAAATTTATGAACGCCAATTCAAAAGGCATCAGGAAACACAAGTTGGTGTAGTACGTGATGTTTTAAAAACCGCATCTCGAACAGCATGGCGTTGTGATCCTTCAGTTCATGTTGAAGGTAGAACATTTGATCAAGTTACTCGCCTTCTTCAGGTAAGTCACATCCCTCATTCCCTGTATATTGAACTACTTTATTAAAATTATTCTAAGGTGATTTCTATTTTTATCTTTGTCATGACTTATCTCTTTGTTTCAAAGGGTTTCCTGGTTAATGAGGTTGACATGAATAGAGAGTCTAGCTGCAAGGACAATTGTGCAGCTTATAATCTTGCTCAAACACACGGTTGTTACGAAGCCCAGTATTGTGACCAGCAGCCTAAATGCCATGGCCATTTGCATGATTGTCAATATTTTGATGCTGACATGTGGGTTTGTCCATCGGTTAGTATTTTTAAAAATGTTGTTGACTTGAGGCAATTTAAAATACTTCTCTTGTGCTTACAAAAATGTATATTGTTTCTAAATGTATATTGTTTCTTTCCAAAGACTAACTATACCAGGCGACGTTATGAATATTTGGAGTTTGAAAATGGTAAAGTACTTGGCAAGAAAAAACAATGTCATCAAGGTACCACTAAAGTAGACTCGTGGTGGCGATATCTGGCATGGCACTGTTCATATTGCATGTGTCTTTGTGATGAAGAAAGTCTATCTGATCGTTACTTCAGTCTCCGCCCTGTCTTATCAGACATATCAAACAACAAGTATGCAGCTTTTACATTACTTCATTGCATTATCTCAAATTAGATTTTATTAAATTGATTTGCCTATTTATTTATTTTTTAGAGTTGTAACAGGTCTAAGACTTGTGAAGAATAATCGCGTCTTTCACTTTCAAATTGAGCAAGGTGAAGTAACATCAAAAGGTCTTAACAAATCAGAGCTTGATTGGAAATCAGTTGATGGGTTCTCCACGAACGGCAGAAATGTTCAGGAAGGACAAGATTTCTTAAAACTTGCCTGGAATCAGAGAGCGATTGACCTGGATGACCTAGTTGCACCACCGGGCTATGTTCTCACTGGTGTATCCTTCAGAAATATTGGAGGCCACCTTAATTTGATTATGCGAGCGACACCAATTGATATTAGAACAGGAAAGCTACGCCCTGAAGGTAGTATCTGGATTGATAATCCTAACACACCCAACTCTAGAAACCCAAGGTAAATTTCAAACCCATTATGGGTTAGTTGGAAGCATAACATTAAATATTACCTTTAAAACACGATATACTGTTTTCTATTTCAGAGTGAAGTTGAACTTGGACAAACCTGACATATCTACAAGAACAATTGCGTCATCTATCCCAGATTCACAACCAGACATGTACATGGAGTTCACCAACACTGATTTTGAAGCAGATGCTGCTCAAACTACAGTACCTTTCATTGACATTCAGTATTTGGCACCTGATCCACCTATTCTTCTTAGTGGTGTTGGAATTTTCCACAAAGGTCAGCCTAATTATGGGGGCTTTATTGCCCTAAAAGTGTACACTTACGATTTCAGCCATGTTATTGCTCCTCTATCACCAAATGATGAATTAGAAGGCAATTCCGCAAATGAATATTTTGTGGAACAGAATGTGAATTGATGCTCTACATTTGTTACATACCTTATAGTACGAACTTTAATGTGTTATTTGACTGACAATTTTGTCACAGAAGAAAATATCTGGCATCTACATTATCTCACTGCCACATTTTGCATTTATTGTTTAAAGGAACTGCAAACTCTTTAATTTTGTAGTCTTCAATTAGAATTGTACTCTTTCATAATGCTTTTAAAACTGTTTGTTATGGCTAATGCCAATGCCCTAATGGAAGGTAAAGAGTGTCTACGCCTTTAAATATACATTGTATTATCTCAGCATTGCTCTCCTTTGTCTCGTCATGTCCTTTGCTTTTTATGTACGGTCCAGATCTTGTTAGAAAGAGTGTGGAGCCAGATGCTGCACTGAACAGCAACCTCACATGCTGTATCAATGTGCTCTGCGCCTTCCGTACATAACTTTAATCTCCAACTTGTCTGTATAATTGTAGCTATGTCATGTATAATTTGATCTGATAAACTTGAGTATCAAGCTGTGTATTTCAGGGTACAAAGTGTGTGAATGTTTATATGATTCCCTTCTTTCTCACGTAGGGCAAGAAATAGACACACATTATCATTCCTGAGCTGTGATGATAGTTGCAAATAGCAAACTGAGTCTTTTTGTTTGGTGCATTTCTCATCGAGTAAATTGTGTGCCATCGTTATACGTAAATATTTACGCATCATAGGATAAGTAAGAAATGTAATTAACCTATTTTACTGCATGGTATTTATCTACTTGCTTTTTTAAAATGATGGGCTGTGCAAAGTGGGCAAAATTGATCAGATGACCAATAATTTGGGGACAAAAGTGTGTAATGATAAACCATAGCTATCTTTTGCTAGTTTATCATGAAAGTAAGGTTTGTGTAATTATTGTTGGCTGTTGTTTTAAGTAACACCAACATCACGGTCACCGGTTTCTTTCTTCCCTCATACCAAAGTGTGTTGTTGATAAATGTCTGACATAAGAAAGAGTCATGTAGCTTGAGGGGCCGTTAATATATTCGATTCCTCGCATAGTTTGTCTGGTTGCTGTGAGAATATTATAGAAAATATCATTTGTATTGTGATATCAATTCATAAGCCCAAATTGCAGTTAAAGAAAACAGTTATTTATGAATCTTTTATGAAATAACTAGTAATTGTTGTATCTGGAATCTGGTTGTGTATTATTATTTTTAAAGTGTGAAAAGACACAGTGTATTTTTATCCTGCTTTCATTTGTGTTCATGTGTTTTTGCAAATGCATCACTGACCTCATCAATTTGACAAATATTTATGCAAAATATGACTTTGGTGATAGTGTGTGCTCATTGCATTGTATTACCATTACCAAAACATTTCCATTTGTTAATTAATTTCTTGTTTTGCAATATGATATTATTTTATGTGGAACAACTGTATTGATATTCTCTAATGTTACCCTTTTTTGCACAACAAGATTTTTAATTGTGTGATCTGATAAGAAGACTGTAGACGGAAAAAATCATCAGACAGGTTGTGTGAGATTTATGAATAAAACTATATAATCTAATCTATTCAAGTTTTGTTTTGTTTTATTGTGGCATCGATTAAGTGGACAAATTCTTCTCTGGAGCGCAATTTGTGATAATCATTGACAAATTCTCCTTTGTAAAACAGTTTAAGGGCTGGCAAATATTCAAGCCTGGAACAATCATAGGGAAATCTAGTTACAAACATTCAAAATCTAGAAAGCTGTCATTAACACCAAATTTTCTTTCTTCACCTAAACCGTCTCTCCAAAAGTGGGTTAGAAGAGTAATCCACTGCTGCCAGACATCCTCTTAAACCCCTGTCGCTAAGCTCCTTGGCCGCTGTTGCGTAGTTCTGTTTAACACTGGAGCAGTGGTTGCACCCTGTGCGAGAATACACACACACGCATGGCTGGATTAGGCAGTTCGCGCATCGCAGGCTCAGGTATCGGTTGAAAACGATATTAGTGGCTGCAAATCGCGGTCCAGGGTTCAGAGGGAAGGGGGGAGCTCGATATGACAACCAACTGAACCCCGACGCCCCCTCCCCCTTTTCCCCCCAGTTTTAACCGAACTACAAATAGGATCGTTTGAGAGACGCCCACGGGCCGCCACGGACTCACATGGGGCATAGAAGAAGACGAGTACGTGTCTCGATCGTCGCAGCACCTCGTCGAAGGTGGAGTCGTTGAGGAGAACGATGGCGTCTTTATGCTGCACGTCGGCCCAGTGCGCAGCTCCGTCCGGGTCGGGCTCCTGGCCGTCACCGCCCCCGCCGCCAGTGCCGCCCCCGCCGCCTCCCGCCCCCAAGGCGTCCCGCGCCGACACGAAGCGGACGAGGTCCACTGCCTGTCCGTCCAGATCGTGTCCATTGGGGCCTTTGCGAGTGACGCCACCCCCCATTCCCTCATCCCACCTGCAGCTGGTCGTCGTAGATCGCGCTGGCCCGGTCTAGAAAGTGGTAGTACTCGACTACGGGTAGGGTTGGCGAAGGCGGCAGCATAGTTTCGCACAAGACGGGCTCCTCGGCGCAGTCGACGGCCACCAGGGCGACGGGCGTCGAACCGAGGGAGACCGACGCTCGCTCGAAGCTCTCCACCATCTGGTCACTGGTGTCGCTCTGTCCTGTCAAACCGGGGACGGGGAGGATGCGCTGGCAGTTACTGTATGTAGAGGCTCGCCCCTCCCGCCACGATACAACGGGAAGCGTTGTCATCGAATAGACTTTGGATTTTCTGGCCCTAGCAGCCTATCATAGTTAATCCCCCTTAAGCTATCCACAGTTTTGATATCGTCAAATAACATCAAGCAGTTGTCTATTCGATGTGGACTCGATTCTGGCCAGCGGTCCCCGCGAGGGTGAGGGAGGGGGTTAGGAGGGTGGCGAAGTGGCGAAGCGTCGGGGGAACGGAGAACGACTTGACCTGCGGCCAGTGCTCCGTAATGACCGCGGATAAACCGACTCGGGTCAGCGAGGTGCAACGGCCATCAAAGAGCGGCCGCGGACCGTATTTATACCCCGGCTCTAGCCGCGCTAGCCCGGTGGGACGGGCATGGCGGCCGATACGCCAGAGTTCCTATCGGCCAGGGCGTGGGTAATGGCGCTTGTGGTGCGCTTCCCCCGCCGCCCCCCGCACCGCCCCCGCGCCGCCCGCGCGCCCCAGGACGGCAGGGGAAGGTTACGATCGGGGGGAGGGGAAATAAAATACGGTAGCACAGTTGTAATGCCGCGCCATACCAGCAGCCGGGCGGCGTGCAGCGTGGCGAACCTGGTCTGTAGTACAGGACAAAGGCGTGCTTCTTCTTGATGAGGAATGGTTTCAATTCGTCCCGTCCGAGGCGCAGCAGCCCCTGCGAGCAGATGGGCATGGCGGTGCAATGTGTGGTCCGGCTCGCTCGGACCCGCCATCGTCCGACACTCACTCACGTTGTCCCGCCGTGGAAGCTCGCCCTGGTGTACCACGGCTGACGGTGCCGCCTCCGCGGGCCGTAGGGCCGCATACCGCACCAGCTCGACGATGGCGTCAGCCTGGCGGACGTCCACGTGGCGGGCCTGCAGCTCGCCGCCGACATACAGGCGCATAGAGGGGAGCTGCTGGATGCCCTGGCCCAGGGCCAGGTCCTCGTGCTGGGAGGTGTCGACGGCGGCCAAGCGCCCGCGCACCTGCTCTTCCCCGCAACGAGATCACCGACGCTCGGACCTCTCATCGCATGCCCTGACTTTACCTGCTGGTCCCCGAGCAGCGCGGCAGCCCGGTCCCACTCGGGCCTCACCGCCTCGCAGTGCTCGCACCAGGGCGCGTGGTACAGCACCAGCACCACGCGCTCGGCCTGCAGCAGGAGCAGGGACATAAAGTCCAGCCGCTCAGGCCGGGCGGGGCGGACAGAGAGCGCCTTGCCTGCACGAAGTCCTGGAAGTTGTCTTCCGTCAGCTCCACGACCTTCCCGTCTGCGGCGCCGGATCGATCGCTGCTCTTGCGGCTCCCGCCCCCGGTCGGCACCAACCACCTGCAGTACTGACCATCCGTCACCTGCGAGCGCCCTGGGTATAGCCTCCAGCCTCACCCAGCCTCACCATCACCTCGGCCTGCAGCACACCGCAGCGACCGCGGCCGCCGACGGCCAGCCGCTCGCGGATGGAGAGGACGGTCCTCGGGAGGAGGTGATCGCCGGGGCGGCGCTCGCGTCCGCGTCGACGTGGTAGTGGCGGGTCGACTGCGAGGGGCTGGCCTGCAAAGCAGCTCGTGAATGACCTTGTCACACGACTACCCCAGCCACCTCTGCCTCCAGGTCGCCTACTGCGAGGAGGTGGAGCAAGGGTCCACGCCACGGTCGCCGCTGCTGCTTCAGGATGAGGAACGTCACTGCCATGGCCACAGTTCGAAACAGCTCGAGACTGAACGGTTCGAAAAAAGCCGCGCGCCCGCCTTGTCTATAAGCAAACTATCGCCCTTCGTTTGTTCTATCACCCGGGCATTGTTAAACACTCGGGAAAACGAGGCTTCTCAGCATCAGAAAGCACCTGACTGAGCTTGAGATCGCTGCAGCTTGTACGACTCGGCTGTATCCTCTGAGCTCCTATGGAGCCTGGGTAGCGTTCGTCATCGTGGAGTCTCCATACTGAGCCCCAGC